GAGAGGCAGGCAGAGAGAGAGGGGGAAACAGGCTCCCTGGTGAGCAGAGAGTCCGATGTGGGACTCGATCCCAGGACCCTGAGATCATGACCTGAGCCGAAGGCAGAGGCTTTAACCCACTGAGCCACCCAGGCGCCCCAATAATACCAAATTTTAAACAGACACACCCCTTTGCTGGTATTTTCAGCAAAGCTTAAATACAGAGACCCGTTGAGCCAGCAATTCCACTTCTAGGGAGTTTTCCTGTGGGTAACCTTTGCCCAAGACAGAGGAATAAGTGTATTTATTGTTGTGTTGTTCGTAATAGTCAAAGACTACAAATGCCTGAATGTCCCTCAGTAGGAGATGGTTAAATGAATAATGATACACAGCGCAATGGACACTCCCCAGCCATTTAAAAAGAATAAAACAGGGGCACCTGGGTGGCTCCATTGGTGAAGTGTCCAACTCTTGATTTCAGCTCAGGTCGTGATCTCAGGGTCATGAGTAGGGTCATGAGTTCAAGCCCCGAGTGGGGCTCCGAGCCCAGTGTGGAGTCAGCTTGAGATTCTGTCTTCTTCTCCCTCTGCCCCTCCCACTCATGCACGCTCTCTCAAATAAATAAATCTTTAATACAGAAATAAAATAAAATAAAATAAAACAGTCCTATGTGTATGGATAGGAAACAATTCTCCGAGATGGACTGACGAGGGCCAGGAGCAGGGAGCAGAGCAGTGTGGGTAACTTGTGGCTGTTCCTGTGAATAGGAGGGGGAGGGGAGGTCAAATTGATTGGGTGCTAGACAGACACAGAATCTTCCTGCTAACTGCTCTCTGGAGAGGCCCTCAGAGGGTCAGGGATGGAGGGAGACTTGGTTTTTCCCCAGATAAATTTCTGTGTTAAAAAAAAAAATTCTGTATTTTAATTTTTTACAACATACATGCATTTCCTATTCAAAATAAATGTTAGGGGCACCTGGGTGGCTCAGTGGGTTAAAGCCTCTGCCATCAGCTCAAGTCATGATCCCAGGGTCCTGGGATTGAACCCCACATTGCATCGGGCTCTCTGCTCAGCGGGGAGCCTGCTTCCTCCTCTCTCTCTGCCTGCCTCTCTGCCTACTTGTGATTTCTGTCTGTCAAATAAATAAATAAAATATTTAAAAATAAATAAATAAATGTTAAATTAATATAATCTCTTTCTCCTGGAAGCAGTAAGGTTTGGACCTCATATGAACAGGATGCAGCATTCTTGAAAGGTTGAGAATTCTCAATCCGTTCTCTGCTGAATGATGTCAACAGAAGCCAAAAGACCTTGAGAGTTGAATTCAGGGATGATGTCTTTGTGTAAATGCTCCGTTGGCAACAGTCACTCCTGGCCCTTATAAGGGACTTCACCGTGTTCAAGGATGACAGCCTCTTTACTTTTCATGATCTCATTTACCCTGACAATGCTGGGGGTTACTGGAGCAGGCAGGGGACCTGTGCAAGGTCACACAATTGGAAAATGCCCAATTTTCAGCCAGACCTGAGCCCACACCTTTCTCTGCTCCTTTCCCGTGGCTAAGAGTGGCAAGCTTCTCAGATCATCTGAGACATCGCATCAAGAAAGGTTGGTCAAGTCCATAGGGCACCTGGGTGGCTCAGTGGGTTAAGCCACTGCCTTCGGCTCAGGTCATGATCTCAGGGTCCTGGGATCGAGTCCCGTATCGGGCTCTCTGCTCAGCAGGGAGCCTGCTTCCCTTTCTCTCTCTGCCTGCCTCTCTGCCTACTTGTGATCTCTGTCTGTCAAATACATAAATAAAATCTTAAAAAAAAGAAAGAAAGAAAGAAAGGTTGGTCAAGTCCTGCGTGTCAGTCACCTGACAGTGACAGTCATCACAGTGGCCACCATATTCCCAGGACCCGTGGTCAGTACTCGGGCCTCACCCGGCCTGACTGGTCAGGAGCTTTGACCAGGGGGTCACTGCTTCCTCCTTCAAACACTTGCTTCCTGGGGTCTTAGGACACCCCTGTCCTGATTCTTATCCCCTGTCACTGGAAACTTCTCATCATCATTGTTGGCTCACTGTAGCTGAAACTTCTAGCTGTGGAGAGCCCCAGGGACTGGCCCTTGGACCATCCTCTTGTCCCTAGAACCCCCTGTTCTAGATCATATATTGGTATTGTGGCTTTTTTTTTTTTTTTCCTTTTAAAGGTGTTATTTTTAAGTAATCTCTACACCCAAGATGGGGCTTGAACTCATAACCCTGAGGACGAGTGACACATGCTCTACTGACTGATCCAGCCAGGAGCCCCTCTATTGTGGCTTTTGATACCATCTACATGCTGATGCCGCCCACATTTATGCCCCACTGCAAACTCCCCCTGCACCCCATTATCCAGTAGCCTCTGGGACGGCTCCACCCAGAGGACTATTAGCTCCTCCCTCCCCTCCCCTGTTTTCCCCCAGCCTGCCCTCCTGCTGCTGTTCCATCCTGTGGGCTCCACCCCTGTCCTCCTGGCTGTTCTGGCCAAACACCACCCCCCCCAGCCCTGCTCCCCAAGCTGTCCATGCCTCTCTCCCACCCTGTCAGCTGAGCTTTCCAAGTAGACTGGAACCTTCTCCCCTGTCACAGTCTCCACCCTCTCTGAGCCACCTTCACCTCAGGCCTAGAATATTCCAACAGCCTCCTCGCTGGTCTCCCTCCTCTGCCCTTGCCCCCTCAGTCAATCTGTTCCCAACCCCACTGCCAAGTTAACCACTCAGAACATGTCAGTCTGTCTCTCTTCTCTGCTGAAAAGCTGCCAGTGATTCCCTGTCTTATTTGGAATGAAAACGGAGCTCCTTCGAACAGCGACTTGGGGCACCTGGGTGGCTCAGTGGGTTAAGCCTCTGCCTTCCGCTCAGGTCATGATCTCACGGTCCTAGGATCAAGCCCTGCAGTTGGGCTCTCAGCTCTCTGCCTGCCTCTCTGCCTACTTGTGATCTCTCTCTCTCTCTCTCTCTGTTAAATAAATGAATAAAATATTTTAAAATAATAAAAAAAAATAAATAAGGCCTACCTGTCCTCCTGTCCCTCCCTTCCTGAGTAGCCTCTGACCTCATCCACCACTATTTCTTCCAGAACCTTCCAGTCCAGTGAGCTCCCTGCTATTCCCGCAGCCTCAGCACTGTGCACTTGCACACAGGTGTACAGAGAGATTCAGAATGTGCTTCTCAGCCTTGTGCTGGGACGTTTGGCGCTGTCCTGGGCACTGTGTGACCATCAGCATGAGGATTCCTGGCCATTCCCCGTGAGTGTCTGTAACACCTCCCTGTCTCCAGAAATTGCCAAACAAGGGAGGCAAAATCGCCCCAGGCTAGAAACCACTGCTCCACCTGCAAGGCCCTCCCCAGGCACCCCCTCACTTCATTCAGGCCCTGACTTAGTGGCTTCCTCCCTACTGTGGCCTCTGCCTACCCTGATTATCACTGCTGCCCACTCCAACTCCCCACCTCCATTCCTGCTCTACTTTTCCTCCATAGTCCTCATCATCATTTTTTGTTTATTATCTGTCTCTCTCTTTTTTTTTTAAGATTTTGTTTATTTATTTATTTGACAGAGAGATCACAAGTAGGCAGAAAGGCAGGCAGAGAGAGGGGGAAGCAGGCTCGCAGCTGAGCAGAGAGCCCAATGCGGGGCTTGATCCCAGGACCCTGAAATCATGACCTTGAGCCGAAGGCAGAGGCCTCAACCCACTGAGCCACCCAGGCGCCCCTATCTGTCTCTTCTTAATAGGCCATAAGCTTTAAAAAGCCAAGGATCTTTGTCTTTGTCTGCTGCATTCACGCTGTGTCCCCAGCACTTACAGCAGGACCTGGCACATAATAGACACTCAATAAATACTTCTTGAAGGAACAAATAAACTCGAGGCCTTGTAACAGCTGTGCGAACATGAGACCGTGGCCTTGAGAGACTGGTGTTCCCATGTGGGTGCTGGGAGTCAACAGAGGAGTAAAGCCCATGCAGTGGGCAGGTGGTGATCAGAGCAAGGAAGAGAAATAAAGCAGGTGTACTGGTTTCCCAGCACTGCCCTAACAAATCACCACAACCTGGGTGGCCGGAAACAACAGATACTTACTGTGTCACCATTCTGGAAGCCAGAAGTCTGAAACCGAACTGTGGGCTGGGCCCTGAAGAAGAATGCTTCTAGCCCCTTTCTTGCTTCCGCCAGGTTGCAGGCAACTATGGCTCTCCTTGCCTTGTAAGACACCTCACGCCAAGGCTGTGCCTTCATAAGATCTTGCTGTGCTTTTCTTCATATCGTCTCTCCTCTGTGCCTGTCTGTCTCCGTGTCCAAACTTCCCTGTTATATAAAGACATCTGTCATATTGGATTAGGGTCACCCTCCTGACCCCATTTTAACTTGATTATCTCTGTAAAGATCCTATTTCCGAAAAGGCCCCAATCTAAGCGATTGGCGTGGGGATGCGGGTTGAACATATCTTTTTCTGGGGGGACACAGTTCAACCTGCCAGCAGCAGGGACTGGGTTTGAAGGGTGCTGCTTCAGGGAGGGTCGGGGGAAGGCCTCTGAGTTGGTGGCATTTGAGCGGAGTCCTGAATGAAGAGGCCTGTGGGCATCTGCAGGAAGGGCGTTCCAGGCAGAGGGAACGGCCAGTGCAAAGCATTGGGATCAAGATGCCAGCCTCACAACGCTGTGAGGGCTCAGTGGCTTAATAGATGAAAAAATTGAAAGGCTGGCACGCAGTCAGCCAGCAGTCAGGATTATTGCTATTATCTATCCTGTCTCCAGGCTTCGCCCCAGCGCTGGCTGTGGTGCTGGGGTTCCAGAGTGAACTGGTCAGACAGCATCTGGTCTCAGTGGTGCTGAGGGCCTCGCTGGGGAGACCCAGAGCCAACAAGTCAATAAACAAGAGGAGCATGTGGTGTGATTGCTGATAACCTCCGTGCTCAGGACAGCAGCGTGATGTCATAGAGGGTAACTGCTGGGTGGGGCTGGGCATCTCCGGATAAAGCCTCTCAGAGAAGCTCAAGGATCTCTCCAGATGAGCACGTCGGTAGTGGAAGTCCATGGAGAAACGTCCCATGGTCAGGCTGAGATCCGTGACCAGGCTGGCATTGGTCACAGGGGAAGTGCCCCAAAGGTAAGAACCTAATGAAAATGCCTCCAAGTCACTTCTGGTTAATTACAAGGAGCATGAATCCCAACGAAATGGGTCTCAAACCCTCAACTGTTACACCATCCCTCATGGCCATCTCATCCCTAGCACCGAATAAAGAAAACATTGGTGGGAAATAGAAAATAATTCCCTGAGCCAGACCCCAGCGTTCATGTCGGACTTCAAGTCCAGATGGGGGCCATTAAGAACAGGTACAGCGGGTGCCTTGTTTACCCGGCGGCTGATTCTCCGGAGAGTTATTCAGCAAGTCCGTCCTGTAGCTCTGTGCTCTCAAAGGGTTCTCTGGGTTGGATTCAACAACATCTCCCCAGATACCCTAGAAAATCCTTTTCTCCTGGGAATTCATTTATTCCCTTAACTGTTTCAGGGCGATTTGCCAGCAAATGGTAGGGTATGGCAGGTGTTTAATGACTACTGAAAACAACTGTGGTGAATTAAGTTCTCAAGGTCCCTTCTTCTCAGCGAGAAAATAACCAGCATGGCTGTTTTGACGTTCCAAGGTCGTGTTTCTTGCCTTTTGAAGCTACATTTTGTTGTTTTGCTTCATTTCGGACCCATTTAAGCTTAACCATCCCTTCCCCCACCCCCAACCCCAACCCCCTTATAGTTAGTTGGTGCCATGGAGAGAGCACAGGAAGGCAGATCTGGGCTCAAGACCCAGCACATGGAGAGAGACAGAAAGAAAGGGAGACGGGAAAAGCACACAAGAGCCTTCACCCTCTTACCATGTCATGGAGACTCTGGTGGGTTTGTATTCACTGGTTCCGTAAACATTTATGCAGTGTCTAATAAGGACCAGGCGCTGTGCTGGGCTCTGGGCAGGGGGTCGATCCCCAAACCCAAAGACAAGTCTCTACCTTTCTGTAGCTTCCAATTTATTGCATAGTCACATCCGATAGAGAGTCAAGAAGGGCTTTTAGTAGGAGAATCCTGAAGACTGGGGACTTGGCTTACTTGCCCTTCCTTGAACTAATGGTCCTCAGTTTTCCGCTTCTGTAAAATGCATTCAGTATCCTTGCTGCATAACTCACACGGGTTTGTGGTGAGGGCCTTAGGAGATGGTGTCCAGAAAAATGGAATGGGAGAGAGTTGCAGTCTTTAACTGACCTTAAGTGGCTAGTGCTGTTTAGTCCCTTACCCAGAGGCAGAAACAGACCGAGAGGCTTGAGTGGTCCTTCCAAAAGGCTCAGGACTCCAAAACAGAAAGTTAGCTGAGTGCACACACTGCTGGGGAGAGTGTGATGGGACCAGAGGGTCAGGAGTGCCCAATGAAACATGGGATATACTTAGACTAGAAAAACTTTACATTTATTTGAAATTCAACTTTAAACATGAGCATCCTATTTTTTTTTTTAAGATTTTTATTTATTTATGTATTTGACAGACAGAGATCACAAGTAGGCAGAGAGGCAGGCAGAGAGAGGAGGAAGCAGGCTCCCCGCGGAGCAGAGATCCTGATGCGGGGCTCGATCCCAGTACCCTGGGATCATGACCTGAGCCGAAGGCAGAGGCTTTAACCCACTGAGCCACCCAGGCGCCCCTGTATTTTTTTTTTTTTTAAGATTTTACTTATTGGGACGCCTGGGTGGCTCAGTTGGTTAAGCGGCTGCCTTCGGCTCAGGTCATGATCCCAGCGTCCTGGGATCGAGTCCCACATCGGGCTCCTTGCTTGGCGGGGAGCCTGCTTCTCCCTCTGCCTCTGCCTGCCTCTCTGTCTGCCTGTGCTTGCTCACTCTCTCTCCCTCTGTCTCTGGCAAATAAATAAATAAAATCTTTAAAAAAAAAAAAAAGATTTTACTTATTTATTTGACAGAGACACAGAGAGAGAGGGAACACAAGCAGGGAGAGTGGGAGGGGAGAAGCAGGCTTCCCACCTAGCAGGGAGCCCCATGTGGGGCTCGATCCTAGGACCATGACCTGAGCTGAAGGCAGATGCTTAACGTCTGAGCCACCCGGGCGCCCCAAGCATCCTGTATTTTTATTTGCTAAGCTTGGCCACCCTCCAGAGGTTCTGATGTCAGTGTGGGGGAGGCCTGGGGTCACCCTGGGACTATAGGCAACAGGGCGGGCCCGTTCCAGGGGCCAGGGCGCCAAAGGGGTGGGTAAGAGCAGTGACAAAGGAGCAAGGCAGCAAAGGCCCAGAAGCTAGGTGGTTTGAGGGGCTGGCTCCCGTGTAGGCCTTGTGAGCCATGTAGGCCTTGTAGTTTAGGCTGACCCTGGGTCTGCAGGGCAGCCCTTCTGGGCCACACCTGGTTTCCCTTGTCTTGCCAATCACTGTAGCTTCCCCCCGCCTTTTTTTTTTTTTAAGATTTTATTTATTTATTTGACAGAGAGAGAGATCACAAGTAGGCAGAGAGGCAGGCAGAGAGAGAGAGAGGAGGAAGCAGGCCTCGCGCTGAGCAGAGAGCCCGATGTGGGGCTCGATCCCAGGACCCTGGGACCATGACCTGAGCCGAAGGCAGAGGCTTAACCCACTGAGCCACCCAGGTGCCCCTGTAGCTTCCTTTTGTAACCCAGGCCCCCCATCAGGCTCCAGGGTTCTGACGTCCTCATTAAAACTTGACTTTGCTCATGCTTTGACTTGAGAATTAGAGATCTGGTCATCCTTGGAGTTGACTCATGTGGCCATTTCCTGCACAACATTCACCAAATTACTTTTGAGCACCTGCTATGCATGGGACAGATACAGAATTGGGCAAAACAGACACTAAATAAGAAACCAATCAGGGAATTTGTACCCAGTTACTAAACATGTAGTAGGTATTAAATCATGATCGCCATAAGCACCATGAGGGAAACATACAGTAGGGTGACTGTGTCTGATTTATTGGGAAGTGGGTCCACAAAGCCTACCCTGAAGACATTAATTTTGTATTGGGTTTTGAAGGATGAGTAGGAGTTACCTGATAACAACAGTGATAACCAAGTGGTGCCAAACACCGCTAAATAACCTTTTTTTGCTACAGGAACTAATTTAGTTCTGATGACACACTGGGAGACGTTACCCACATTGTAAAGGCTCAGAGAGGTTAAGTTACTTGCACAAGGTCACACAGTGAAAGAATGGAAGTGTAAGGAATAAGGAAGTGTAAGCCAGCCTGGCCTAAGAGCCTTCCAAGCACTGGGAGCCCAGAGAGCAAGCTGCAGAAGGGAATCCCACAGGCCCGCGAAAGCTTAGTGAAGAATTTGAGACTTTGGCCTGAGAACAATGGGAAACCTTTGAAGGGGTTTAGAGGTGGGGGTGGGGAGGGGGGTGTGTCCTGGCCCAAATTGAAATTTCAAAAGATCCCTCTGGCCGCTCAGGGTTGGGGATGGGATCAGCCTGGAGCCCGGGGGCTGGTGGGAGGCTGTTCCCTTCCTGCCCAGATAACAGATAATGGTGGCTCTGGAGCCAGCCCTCAGCTCTGCAGAATGGAGCTACGCGGCCGGAGTCGGCGATGGAAGCAGCTCAGGTAGATCCCACAGAGCTCTGGGCTGGGAGGTGGGAGAGGGAGAGGTCAAGGGTGACATTCAAGTCTGGGGCTTCAGAACTGCACGAGAAGTGCCTGGGAGGGAGCTTGGTGGCCCAAGAGCTCCTGGGAGTTGGGTTTGGGTCAGACTGTCCCGTGTCTGAGATTTCTTTGTCTCTGGTGTGTTTTTGTTGTTGTCATTGTGGCTACATCAGTTCCTGATTGCCTTGGAGTTTCAGCCTGTTTCGGTCCCCATCTCTGTAATGGTAGTTTCTTGGGATGTTAGAGGCCGAGAGGGCTTGGACTTCCATTTTTCTTGCGAACATCTTGCTTTTCCAGATGGGCAGAGGACCTCATCTTTCTGTGCTTCGGTTTCCTCATCTGCAAAAGGAGGGCAGGAACACCTCGTTCGTAGAGTTGTTGGGACGATTCAGTTAATTAATACAGGAGTGTGCTCAGAACAATGCCGGGCGTGCAAAGGCCCCACCGGCGCCCGCCCCTCTTCTGAGGCCAAGATGCTGGTGCTGATGGTGTTGTCATGACAATAGGAGGAAGCTGAAGCCCATAGAAGTCACTCCAGTCACTTAGTAAGTTTATGTTTGGTACTCGGTTGTAAGCAGACTATTTAAAAGGCATGTACAGGGACGCCTCGGTGGCTCCAATGGTTGAGCCTCTGCCTTAGGGTCAGGTCATGATCTCAGGGTCCTGGGATCGACTCCCACATTGGGACTCAGTGGGGAGCCTGCTTCTCCCTCTACCTGCCGTTCCTCCTGCTTGTGCTCCCCACCCACCAACAAATAAGTAAATAAAATCTTAAAAAAAAAAAGTATGTACAGAAGCCTGAGGAATTACATTCACTCCAGTGAACAGACATTGATGAGACTCCCCAGTGCCAGCCCTGCTTTAGACTCTGGGGTCACGCCAGGGAATATGAAAACGATCAGCTTCCTTGAAAAGCAAATGCAGCGCTGAGTTTCAGAATGTGCTAAGTGCTGGGAAGAAAAGGAAACCACTTTTGTGTGAGGATGTGATCCCAGGGGGCCTCGGGGAGGAGGTGACATTGGGTCCAGGACCCAAAGCAGAAAGGGCATATGCAAAGGTCCATAAGGGGTGCGTTCTAGTTGGTAGGAGAAAACTGGCACATTTTGAGAACCCTAAGATAGGTCAAGGTGGCTGGAGTGCGGGGAACAATTGAGGGGGAGAATTAGCTGATTTATATTTCTACATATTGAAATATGTTGAAATTACTGTTATTTGACCTTTTAAATTCAGGTACAAAGGACATCTGGGTGTCTCAGTTAAGCATCAACCTTTGGCTCAGGTCATGATCCCACCCAGAGTCAGCTCAGTGGGAAGCCTGCTTGTATTCCCTCTCTCTGTCTGTCAAGTAAATAAATAAAATCTTTAAATAAAATAAATAAATTCATGTGCAAATTATGACTACGATTCTACCTGATAGATTCAGCAAAAAAGGGCAAAGCCAAGTTAGGGAATTAGGGCCACGGCCGATCTATTGAAGATCTTTTAGAGAAACTGCTTTGTGGAAGAAGGAAAAAGAGTCAGTGAACAAATACTTACTGAGCAACTACTATGCCCCAGGCCTGTGCTGGCCCAGGGAGTACTGGTGAATGGGTACCCAAAGTCCCTGCCTCTGTACACAGACACACAGTCAACAAAGGAATAAGGTGCTTTACATATTGTGCTAAGTCCTAGGAAAGCAGTAACAGGCTGATGTCCCAGGAAACAGACAGGATTTGGTATCCGATGGGTGGTCAGGAAAGGCCCCTCAGAAGAGGTGACATTTGCAGTGAGACCTGAGTCATGAGGGGAAGCCACTATGAGATCTAACTCGGTCCAGGTGGAGGAGACAGCCAGTGCTCAGAACCTGAGGTAGGAATAAGCCTGGAAACGTAGAGGTGGGGGAGGTTGGGGGAGGAGCTGAGGAAGGAGGCCCGAAGAGCCGGTTGGGGGAGTGGGGGTGGGGGTGGGGGTGGGGTGGGGTGGAGGGTGTGGGTCACCTGTGATGCATCGGAGAGCAGGGACTGGCCCCCACAGCACTCTGTAGGCCCGGTTCAGAGAAAGCATTTTCTTCTGAAAGCGAGATTGCAAAGGGTTTCTGTAAAGGACCATAGTCGTGTAGGCTTTGAGGGCCATGTCTGGTCTCTGTTGCAACTAACTATTTGACCCTGGCCTTGTCACTGGAGTGTAGCCCTAGATAACAAATAAATGAACGCCTGTGCTGGTGTGCCTGGAAAACTTGGCTTACGGACACTACAAAATTTGGAGTTCATTAA